ATTCAAGTGCTAAATTGAATTAAAATTAAATACAGCGATTTTCCATAGAATACTTGTGAATTAAATGATTAAGCAAATTTTACAATTTCATCCAACCGATGGAAATTGATTTTTGACTTGAATTTGCCTGCAATCGTGCAACTTCTTTCTTCTGTCAAGCCGAATGTTACAAGAGATGATTTTGCTCACGATTATTAGTGCCTAATGTTCATAAATATATTAGAGAATGAACAAAAAAAACTATGATTTAGTTTTCATTAATTTAATTTTTGATAAATTTCGGGCATAGATTTTTCATTCTCACCTGCTCTGCGCCACAAATGATTTGGGTGACGTCTGAAGTAGTTTTAGTGTGCACATTCAGCGTGAAACCAACATCTCGCCCAATACTTTACTTCACTTTTCTCTGAGGAATCTCCACCAGTTTGTTGCCTGACCTCACAACAGATACTCCCAAGGTGCTGGTGAAGATTCGTGCTAGATTCATTTTGAACGCATCTATCTACAATTCAAATCAGATGGTGTGGACTAACCTTTTGAAGAATCTTTGGCCCCGGTTCACCTTTGGAACCATGGAGTAAAGCCTCCCATGGAAGCTAAGCTTGAGCTTGGTCGGGACTTTGGACGCATGCGTGGGCACGTGCTGGATTGGATGTCGTCTGCGCTACGACTTACCTCGGTGGCTCACATGACTCTTTGGATGCAACCACTACCTTGGCCCCGGCAACTTACCTCTGCGCGGACGTGGACCAGCTCCAAGAACCAGCACTTCATCAGCGATTCACTGAAGGATTTCTTAGCACTTCAGGTACGTCACCCTTTCTTCGTAGGCACGGAGCAAGCGGTGATGAGGTGTTAAATCCTGTTCCTTTTTACGCGAAACCCGAATAAATAATAAAGCCCGTAATTATCCATACTTTAATATCTATTGGTAATTTTACGACTTCATTCATGATTATACAATAATCAAGATTGCATCTTACTCGGAACGTGCGGCAACAAGTTGCACCAGCTCGACATACTTTTGCTACGATTGAAAACTTTGTCAATAACGACCTTTTATTGCATCGAGCGTTTTTTCGCCTACTATCAGAACTGAACTTTGTGCCTTGACTGACCACCGTTTCCTTTTCTTCAGAAATTTCGGGTTGGGCAGACGCGAGAGCGAGTTGCGGCTCCTTCGCCTCTTCACGCTTATTGAAGAGGAGCCGCTACCGAAATAAGGCAGCACCAAACTATCTCGTGAAATTGAAACTTTTCAAAAAAAAGCAAAGATTTCTTTAGCCTCCAATCCATTCTTGTTTTGCTTGCCTATATATTCATTTTATCAGCTCATTCCTCAAAGTTTTGTCCAAAGAAAATCAATACGTCATCAGAAATGATGAAGCGTGAGATTCATTTGGGCTCTTTTGTGATTGAATTTATAATGAAAACCTTCAATCATAACTGAAAACTACTCAACGTTGAGCAGAATTGCATGACAAGTTCTAGGTTAATTAAAAATGGTTAAAAAAGGTTAACCGAATCTGCGGCTATAACCTCGCCTCACTCGAGTTCAATGATTCATCAAAAAACTTCCTGAGCTGTGGAACAATCTCAGCGTCACTGAACGTAGATATCTTATGTTTTTGTTGAAGCTTTGCTGCTAAATCTCAAACTATTAGGCTTGAAATGTTCCATGTAGAGTAATGTTTACAAATGACTAAAAACTTAAAACAAAGAAAACTCCACAAAAATTCATGGTATCTTTAAAGAAAAAACGTTTCGGAGTCCAGCTCGATCGTCAGTTCGAGAATTCTAGAACATGAGGATGAACTGATAGAATTCTTTCGAACTGGCAATGGAGCTGTACTCCGAAACGCTTTCTTCAAAGATACCATGAATTTTTGGGGAGTTTTCTTTGCTTTTAAGTTTTTAGTAAATTTGCTATTCAAGCAAACGAGCGACATTATTACTCGCAAATGACTGTGATAGCGTCCAAGTAGTGATGCATTTGTGTTCATGTGTAGGTCATCCTGATCCATGCAGTTAGGCCCGGAAAAGAATGTATCGACAGCTCGTGCTGCCGACAAGTAAGTGCCACTATTTGGACAATATGACCCACTTATTTCCTAAGTGAGCTTCGTGCCAGCGCAGCGCCCCGGCAGGCCAGACTGGCGCCCACGGCAGTCCGTCCTTGTCAAGATAACCGCGGCAACGAACAGGTCAAAGTATATATATATATATATTATATATTGTGTATGTATATCTATTTTGTGTATGTATATACAAATTTTGTGTTTTTGTGTCTATTACTGCTAAAGAAGTAAGATTAAAAATACACCGATTTGAGCTTTGATTACATATAATTGTTAACATCACTGGCAATGATCAGGTTAAAGATAACACAGATTTGAGCTTTGACTACATATAATAATTAACATCAGTTGATTGTATTGATGTTACATGAAATTCAGTTCTTAGGTTTGCAATAATGATGAATATAATGATTTATTTGAATATTTTCAAGCAGAACATTGAGCTAAGAAGGGAATTTTCGAAGATGTCATACTTCCTGATTATAAAGAGATCTTGCGATACGCATGCCAACCTTGCATGGCTTATTAGAAAGTTACGGCTCGAAAAAATGTGGAACATTACCTAGATATGACTCTAGTGTATCTTTATTTTCCGTTGACCGATTGGTTTGAACTCACATATATAGGATGAAATATCGTGGATTATTACCCTTATATTTTACCCTGGATTATAAACCCTATTATTTTACTTCGGATTATTGCCCTATTATTTTACCCCGGATTATTACCCTATTATTTTACCCCGGGTTATTGCCCTATTATTTTACCCCTGATTATTATCCTATTATTCATTATTGTCCTGGATTATTATCCTGGATTATTCTACAAGTACCAAACCGCGCGGACCACTCAAGGTACCATGCAGAGACAGGGGCAGAGAACACTAATGGTAAAAATTATCTATCATAATCATGAAGGTCACTAGCAAGAAATTTCAAAGTTGTACTTGTGAAAAAACTTGATAGTTTTCGTTGAAAAATTAATCGCATCACAAAACAAAGAGAAATATCCGTCAATAAATGAGCTGAAAGTTAGATTTAGTTCACCTCATCGAATTGTTCATACACATATAAGTTATAACTGAGTTTCAACATACGAGTACATCCATCAAAGCCTGAACACTTGCGGGTTGTTGGCTACAGTGTAGCTACACTCTACGCTACACTCCACGCTACACTCTACGCTACACTCCACGCTACACTCTGAAAGATGAGTGGTTCACAGTGTCCAAGTCGTCCCTCACTTCCTACCCTCAGTATAAGCAGAAGAGGACATAGCGCTGACGCGACCTCTTGCCGGACCAAACTAAACCCACAGAAGCGCAAAGTATGCATCAGTTGGACAAAGTCCCGCTCCATTGTCTGAGTGAACATTAGCCAGTGCAGTGTCGCAATAAACCATCACCCTCTCCCTCAGTTATCGCAGTTTTATTCACATTGAACACTTGCAGCTGAGAGAAAAATACACGTGGAACATATAACAAACTCTCCTTGTAACGCTAGATCTGTGTAGATTCTATAGCTTGTATTTGCAAACCCATTTCAAACATGGCATGAGGATTATTCACTAAATATTGCCGAGCTTACTAAATGATTGGTATTTAGTATACTCACTAGGATACTCAACAAATTTATAATATTGTTTGCCCTATAGAATTCATGCCAAATTAAATAATGAATTCTTCTGCCATTCTTTTTCTAACGCCACAAACCTAACAACAAAGCAATGATTACTAACTATGATGTAAAACAATCACTTAGCCTTAATTTAGCAAGGGAAGATAAAATAAGTTAGTTATACGACCTTACGAGTTTCTTCTCGTTAGTTAGCAGACTCACATTTGAAGTGATATAGGACCTCGTACAGACGACGTGGTTCACGCTGCGCTGGAAAAACTGCCACCGCTGCAACATCTCCACACAAGCGAGCGCTGTGTGAGTTCTAAGTTTTGCGTGTGATGTAGTGAGCACCTGATGTGATGTAGTGAGCACCTGATGTGGTTAGGTGAGCATAAAATGGTAATGACTGAGCACCTGTTGTTGTCAGGTGCAGCACCTGTTGTTGTCAGGTGCAGCACCTGTTGTTGTCAGGTGCAGCACCTGATGTGGTCAGGTGAGCACCTGTTGTTGTCAGGTGCAGCACCTGTTGTTGTCAGGTGAGCACCTGTTGTTGTCAGCTGCAGCACCTGTTGTTGTCAGGTGCAGCACCTGTTGTTGTCAGGTGCAGCACCTGTTGTTGTCAGGTGCAGCACCTGCATCGTCTCTCCTTCGTTAGGCAGCGCCGCCAGTAGCGCCAGTCTGCATCTCTCGCGCCCCGCGTGCGGTCGAGACTGTGTGTTGTGCTGTGTTATGTGTTGTGCTGTGTTATGTGTTGTGCTGTATTATGTGTTGTATTGTATTATGTGTTGTATTGTATTATGTGTTGTATTGTATTATGTGTTGTATAATATGTTGTGTCATAGCGAGAATGTATATTACTAATTTCTTGAACACCTCCGTAGGCGCGAACTATTGCTCATTTCTTTTTGAGATTTATTTTTATTTTCTTCGTGTATAATTAATTATCTATAATGAATTATTTTTAAATGATGAATTTCTTTCCAACTTCACAAATTAAAAATATCAATAAGACATATATTAATTCAAAATATACCCAGAAATATATTTCGCGATCGATGTACGTCTATAATATTTTATTTTACAAATGTCAAATATTCGCATGTTCCAATGTCAATTTTTGAAAAATTTTAAAATTAACTGACTGGTCTTTAATTAACACTAATTTAACATCAACGTTAACATTAAATGACTTCGAAAGATACCAAACCAAGGGTCCTTATCATTACCTAATAATCTTAACTCCCGTACGATTATTCTGCTGCAATAATTACCGTTACTATTTTAATTCACCTCCTATTTTTACAGTTACTATCAATTTACGTTATAATAAATCCAGGAATTCGCATCAGTATTTACCATTTAATTTCAATTAAAGCTACAATAAAACCGGGAATTTGTAGAAATAATTACCATTTATTTTCAATTAACACTTCCATAAATCCAGGAGTTTGCAGTAATAATTACCTCTTAACTTCAATCAAAGCTTCCATAAATCCAGGAGTTTGCAGCACTAATTACCTCTTAACTTCAATCAAAGCTTCCATAAATCCAGGAG